AAACCATAAAAATACTAGACGAATCCACACGCAGCAAAATCTCAGATATATGCCGAAGCAATTTCTTCACTGATACTGCTCCTAGGGCAATGGAAACTAAAGAGAAAATAAACAAATGGGACTAAATTAGAAAGGATATATGCACCCCTATGTTCATAGCAGCACAAATCACCATAGCTAAGATTTGGGAACAGACGAAGTGCCTATCAGTAGAAGAGTGGATTAAAAAACAGTGGTACATCTACACAATGGAATACTATGCTGCAGTAAATAAAGGAGTTCTTACCACTTGCAACAGCATGGATGGAATTGGAGAGCATTATGCTAAGTGAAATAAGCCAGTCAGAGAAAGATAAATATCACATGATCTCACTCATTTATAGAATATAATGAACAACATAAGCTGATAGACAAAAACAGATCCAGAGACAGAGAAAGCATCGATCAGACCATCAAACCTCAGAGGGTAGGTGGGGGTAAGTGGAGAGATCAACCAAAGGACTTATATGCAAGCATATTTTACAATTTTTTTTTTGGTACTAGGCCTTTGAAATATACTGTATAATTTATACTTATAGCACATCTCAATTTGAACACCAAATTTTCATCATACATACTACATCAATATTTAGACTTCATAAAATACACGGTTATAATTTTGTTTCAAACATAATCAAAAGTTTTTTGATAACTGAATCAAGTATTAGTTTTTGAATTTATATATAAATTAATTAAAATATAATTTAAAAATTCATCTGTAATATTAGCAACATTTCAACAATCACATTTGGCTAGGACAGTGGTCGGCAAACTCATTAGTCAACAGCGCCAAATATCAACAGTACTTCTTCAAAACAGACTCGCCCAGGCCGAAAACCGACTTCTGCTCATGGGCCACGAAGTTTCAATCACACTGTACGTGTGCGCAAGCATGGTATTTTGTGGAAGAGCTCACTCAAGGGGCCAAAGAGCCGCATGTGGCTCACAAGCTGCAGTTTGGCAACCACGTGGCTAGGACATATGGAAATTATAGTGTAAGATAGATCAAGAATAGCGAAAATTCAAGATATGCTACAAGCTCTCTTTTACAATGAAGACAGATGTCACCAATCATGGACTTCTATCCCAATCAACCCCATTATAACTCTACACCTTACCTAAACATAGAGCTTTCTTTAAGCAATGGATCTAAATTGTCACATAAAGTTAAGTCTATTTACCATGACTATTACAGATTATAAATCTTGGTTTAAAGAGGTATATTCAATAGATCATTTTATCTTATTCAACTAAAAGTTTTTAAATGCCAGATTCAGTAGAGTTTAAGATTTCTTTTAATGAAATACATTGATATAAATTCTTGTTCCTCAAGTACAAGTCTATAACAACAACAACAACAAAAACACATCGTGCAAACTTTTATGCGGAGATTATTATTTATCACGAATTCTGTGGGGGCACTTCTCTTTCACTTACATTGGTAACAGCATCATCTTAGATTTGGTTCTTAATTACAAAGAACATATGTAAAGTACATAAAGAAAAGTAGAAAATTGAAATACGGGGGAAAGATGAATATTTTTGCTTAAATTATTTGCATAGTTCAAGCAAAGATGCTTTTTACTGTAAATTAATTGTATGATTGATCTTAGCCTTAATTTTGCTTATGTTCATTATCGCTAACTTCCTTTTTTTCCAGGAAAATTCCAAATTCTTTAAAATATATCAATAGTCAAAAACAACTCAAAATTGAAAATTGGAAAAAGAAAACAAACCCAAACCCAGCTTAAAAAGCTAAATGGTTCTCACCTTCTCAACACCACCCCCCTTCTACATTTGTGATACTTTTTTGATTCCAGTACCAGTAAATAATGTATTTTAAAACCTACAGATTATCTGACTTGGAACTTTTTCTCCTAAATTGACTCAGGTTGGAAAAAATTACTTCTATGTTCTCTTGAATTTCTATTTGTGTATGTAAGTATGCTTGTGGCTCAGCTTTCTCCTTTTAACTATATTACCAGTATAGGCCCTTTATTCACAATTCAATTCAATAAATTTTTTTTTTGCTTGTCAAATGATCTTTAATTTCCCTTTATTCACAATTCAATTCAATAAATTTTTTTTTTTTTGCTTGTCAAATGATCTTTAATTGAAAGATTTTCCTTTGTAGTTCTTAACTAGCCAGACATTCCACTGCAACACTGTTGATATCGTCTATGATGTCATGAGGGTGGCGACCATCAACATTGCAGCCCACAGACTGGGCAGTCCCCAGGATCTCTTTAATGGTTCCAGAGAGTTCTCTAGCTAAAGATCGGTGCCGCATCTGTCGGGCAATGCTGACAATCTCATCAAAAGTGATATTTCCACTGTGCTTAATGTTTTTTTTTTGTTTCTTTCCGTCTCTTGGCGGTTCTTTGAGGGTTTTAACGATCAGGGCAGAGGCAGAAGGCACTACTTCGATCTGGGCCTGTCTGTTCTGAATGGTCAGTTTCACTGTAATCCTCAGACCCTTCCAATCACCGGTTCCTTTGGCGATGTCATCACCAACCTTTTTTGGAGACAGGCCCAGGGGGCCGATCTTGGGGGCCAGGGCAGACATGGCGCCCACTTCCCCGCCGGTGCACCGCAGGTAGACGACTTTGATTTCGTTGGGATCGAACTTGGGCGGCATGGCGGAGGCAGCTGGTGTCGGATGAACCCGGATTCGGGACGACCGAAGAAAGTTGCACCTGAGCCTCCTCCGAGCCGAAAGCCGAAAGCTCAATAAAATTTTTACTTAGCATCATCTCTAGCCAAGGTTCTGTTCAGTGTGATACAGGGGCTAATAATGCCACTTTTATTTTTTTAAGATGAAATTTTGTTGTACATGATATTTACTATAAAAATCTATTATTTTATAAGTTCAAATAATCAAGCTATTATCAGGTAATCATAATATTTATTCATCTGTTGAGTGAACAATAGTAATAACCTCACTGTTGTTTTCTTTTTAATTAAATTTATTGGGTTAACATTGGTTAATAAGCTTATATAGGTTTCAAGTGTAGATTTCCATGATACATGATCTGTATATTGCATTGTGTGCCCATCACCCAAAGTAAAATAATCTTCCACCATCATATATTTGGCTGCCTTTACCCCTTACAATCCTCCAAACTCCCTTCCCTCTGGTAACCACCAAAATGTTGTCTGTGTCTATGAGTTTCAGTTTTATATCCCACATATGAGTGAAATCATTTGGTGCTTTAGCTTTTTCTGCCTGACTTATTTCACTTGGCATAATATCCTCAAGGTCCTTCCATATTATTGCATTTGGCAGTATTTCATCTTTTCTTATGGCTAAGTAGTATTCCATAGTATCTATGTACCACATCTTCTTTATCCAATTATCTATTGAAGGGCACTGGTTGTTTCTATGTCTTGGCCACTGTGAACAGTGCTACAATGAACATAGGGGTGCATCTATAATGTTTTCAAGATTTTTGGGTATCCCAGAAGAAGAGGGATTGCTGGGTCATATGGTAACTCGAGTCAATTTTTTGAGGAACTACCTTACTGTTTTCCATAGTGGCTGAATCAGTCTACAGTCCCACCAGCAGTGAATGAGGGTTCTCCTTTCTCCACAATCTCTCCAGCACATGCTAAGCCAATGCACACTAGCAACCTCAGGCCCCTGAGGCAGGAACACAGAGTCTAATACATTCTCTTCAGGTGATCAGGATGTAAATCATCACGAGTCTTTCCTGCCAGACTTAATACTCAAAGGATTAAACCTTGCTTAAACATCTAATTTGTCAGATGTTTAAATAAAGCTCTGATTCATTAAATCATAATCTCCAAACTTATCATACAAAAATAAAATAATATTTACATACATCAAAGTTATGGGCTTTTAAAACAAAGAGATAAATTCGTTCAGCATCCAAGTGTCTGGGTAGTTGAGAAAGCTCATTTGTTTTGAATCCTTCAAAGATGCAACCCTAGAAAGAGGAAATATCACACAACAGTAATTACTTCACTCTTTTCAATTGGTAGTCTTAGTAGGAGAAAAATACTTAATTGTCAATTATTTTACTTCTTTTTATGAAAATTGAAGAATATTTATTCCACCTAAGCAAAATCTTCATACTATCTGTTTGTCTGAAATTAAGACCCTGATATATTCACATGCCAAATCCAAAAGCAAAAGGAAATAATATTGCATAACTAAATTGATTAAGAATTGATCAAATGATCAAGAATTTTAACTACACATAAGAAAATGGACTAAGCAGGAAAAGAAAGCGTCTGCCTGGCTGGCGTGGCTCAGTGGTTGATCATAGACCTATGAACCAGGAGGTTACAGTTCGATTTCCTTCGCCTGGGCTGCAGGCTCCATCCCCACAACCCTGGCATGTGCAGGAGTCAGCCGATCAATGATTCTCCCTCATTATTGATGTTTCTATCTCTCTCTCCCTCTCCCTTCCTCTCTGAAGTCAATAAAAATACATTTTCAAAATTTTTTTAAAAGAAAGCTTCTATATCTGTTCCCAACTCTCTCCTACTATCCCTATCTCTATAGCCAAATCTGTTATTACAAACATTCTTTTACCTCCACGTAATTCCTTGACACATAATATAAAAAAACAGAAATTTTAAATACCTCTATATTCTTCGCTGTTTCCATTTCATCGGAAAGCTGTAAAACATTTAAAATAAAATCTTTAAAATCCTAAATAAAAGAATTTTTATATTTGATAAACTTGCTCAGTTAATGCATGTGTGTGTGTATCTCCTACTGAAGCTTAGAATGCTGTTGCTGTGTTAGACGCCAAGAATACAAAATGGCCCTTATCCTCAGAGCTAGTCAGAGTTCAAGAGTGGAATAAGGTACATATATATATATATATAAACAGAACACAAAGAGATATGGGCTATATCAGAAATGCAAACAAACTACTTACTGCAGTTTGGATTCATTGCAAACAGACTCTGAGGTGGCGTTAGTGTTCAGAATGTTTATTGGGAGTGCCTTGGGTTCATTATCTATGGAAGGCAAGGGAGAGGCAAGGTTGGAAAGATGGAGAAGTCAGCTATGATGCAAGTCTAACAGCTTCCAATAATCCTAAGAAGGGCTCGAAAGCTGAAAGGACCCATCATAGTTGTCCTGCTTTGGGTTGAAATAGCCACTTCTTTCTGCATCCAACTTGATCAGCCATTGGATGTGGGTGGTTCCTGAAAGAGCTTGTCCTCGTGAGTTCCATATAGGTGAGGCAATCCCTAAAGGGGCTGACAGTGCCCTAACAGCACTCCTAGCAGCTAGAACAGGGGTGGGCAAACTTTTTGACTCGAGGGCCACAATGGGTTCTTAAACTGGACCGGAGGGCCGGAACAAAAGCATGGATGGAGTGTTTGTGTGAACTAATATAAATTCAAAGTAAACATCATTACGTAAAAGGGTACGGTCTTTTTTTTTTTAGTTTTATTCATTTCAAACGGGCCGTAGTTTGCCCACGGCTGAAGAGCAACAGGTCCTCCCTTGAAGGAGCATCTATGTGGCTTATCTCCTCGTTTACCATATTACTTTACATAGAGATTAAGTAGCCTTTTATATACATTATTTTTTGATCATCTAGACATGTTGATAGATTGTTTACTAATTTCTATATCCTTACTTCCTCCAGGAATACCTAATCTTACATGCAAATTTTACACATACACACACTATAGAATACATATTACTGTAGAGGAGATGACATAGAAAACACACTTGAAAGGATAATAACAGATTGCTACCAGAAGACTGCTAAGAGAATTACATTATTGGCATTTTAAAAAGTGTGCAAAGGAATAAAAAAGAATGACTAGGGAAAGTAAAATCAATTATGGTAAAAAAAAAAAAAAAGGCTATAGCCCACACCAGTCTGGCTCAGTGGATATAGAGTTGGCCTGTGGAATGAAGTGTCCTGGGTTCAATTCTGATCAAGGGCACATGCCTGGGTTGTGGGCTCAATCCCCAGTAGGGGACATGCAGGAGGCAGCCAATCGACGACTCTCTCTCTCATCATTGATGTTTCTATCTCTCTCTCTGAAATAAATAAAAATATATTTAAAAACAAATAATGAATGTTGTATGCTTGAGAGCTTCAGATACATCTGGTCAATAAAGATAGGGGTCAAATTTAGAAAGATGTTAATGTTAATCTCAAAGACCTGGCTTTATTCTGCAGGGAGCAAAGAAACACTGAACATTTTTAAAGAGCAGAGTAATAACAAAACAAGGTGTTCATCATATAGTCTGGGAAAGATACCACAAAAATATAAATAACACATGCTAACATCCTGATTAAAAACCCCGATATAACATATTTAACAATTAAATAATTATTAAAACTTTTGTTAGTATAATTCATCTTAAGATCATTTCAATAGATTCTGAAAGCCATCTTTTATCAAGTCAGAAATTTAAAAAATTAAAAAACAAAGAAATTATAATGAATACCATAATTACCAGTATTCCTATGCCCCCACATCTAGAAAGGATTACCGCTGATATTTTAGTATTGCTTAAAACTATTTTAAAGAGAATATACAAAGTTTATATATAAATATACATAATAAAAGTTTGGATCTGCTTTCACAATGATTTCTAGTTCTATTCATGTGTTCCTCTTTCTTGAGATAGTTATTATTATTTGTCTTGTTTGTATCCCTTCCATTTCATTAAAATACTTTTACACACATATGTATATATGTGTGTATGTACAAAATAGAGACATTTTTGTGTATTTTTAAAATTTAGAGAAATGGTATCAACTGTACATATCCTTTTGGTATATTGCTTTTTTTCCATTCAGTATTATGTTTTGACAATCTACCAAAGTTGATATTTATGGAACCTGTTGGCTTCCACACAGCATTTGTTTTTATGATTTCTGGAGGTGCCAAGTAATATTAACACAGTTCTCCTTAAGTTTTATTTTCAAATGAAATATGTAACTGCATTGTATTCATAGCTATGATGTCAAAATACATAGGCATTTGTTATATTAGAAAATTGAAATTTAACTTCACTGTCTTGGTAAATAGTGAGTGCGTTCTTTTTTTTTCTTCCACACAGCATTTCTACCAACCTAACTATTACCCTCTGCAACATATAAATAATAAAAGATCAATAAAAGTTCACAGGCAACTGTTACCAAACATACAAGGAACAAGTGATATCCCAATATCCCACAAGCTAGTTATAGAATGGAAAGAAAGAGAAAGCTAACTAACTCGTTTTCTGAGGTTAGTATAATTTTGATAACAAAGCCAAAAGAGATAATCGTATCTTATAAAACACTGATTAAATAGTATATCCTAAGATTATAAAAATGGTTCAACTTCTAAAAAGCTATTAATATAAAATGCCATATTCACAGATTAAAGCTGAAAGTAGCTTTGCTATTCACCACAGTGAATTATTTTCCTCTCTGCTTCAAAACATGGAGATTTTTTTCAAGTTTTTGAGCAAAGGGATACCTATCTATATCTAATCTACAGGCATGCCTTGGAGATATTATGGGTTCAACTCCAGACCACCACATTAAAACAAATATCACAATAAAGTGAGTCACACAAATTTTTTGGTTTCCTAGTGTATGTAAAAGTTATGTCTACACTATACTGTAGTCTATTAAGTATACAATAGTATTATGTCTGAAAAATGTACATATCTTAAAGTACTTTATTGCTAAAAATTGCTAACCATCATCCAAGCCTTCAGGGAGTTATAACCTTTGCTGGTGAGAGGTTCTTGTCTCAATGTTGATGACTGCTGACTGATCAGGGTGGCTGTTGCTGAAAGTGGGTGTGGCTGTAGCAATTTCTCAAAATGAGACAACAATGAGGTTTGCAGCATGGACTGACTCTTCCTTTCACAAGCACTGTCTTTGTAGCATGAGATGCTGTTTGATAGCATTTTGCCCACAGTAGAATAGGAGTCAATCCTCTCAAACCCTGCTGCCGCTTCATCGACTACATTTATGTACTACTCTAAATCTTTGGTTGTCATCTACAATCTTCACAGCATCTCTACCAGCAATAGATTCCATCTCAAAAAACAACTCTCTTTGCTCATCCATAAAAATCAGTTCCTCATTCATTAAAGTGTTGTCATGAGATTGTTGCAATTCAGTCAAATCTTCAGGCTCCACTACTAATTTTAGTTCTCTTGTTATTTCTACATCGGCAGTTACTCCTTCCACTGAAGTTTTGAACCCCTCAACGTCACCCAGGAGTGTTGGAATCAACTTCTCCCAAATTCCTGTTAATGTTCATATTTTGACCTCTTCCCATAAATTAAGAATGTTCTTAATGGCATCTAGACCTGTGAGTCCTTTCCAGAAGGTCTTCAATTTACTTTGCCCAGATCCATCAGAGAAATAACTACTTATGGCAGATATAACTATGCAAAATTCATTTATTAAATAAGACTTGAGAGTCAAAATTACTCTTTGATCCATGGGCTGCAGAAGGGATGTTATGTTAGGAGGCATGAAAACAACATTAATCTTGTACATCTCTATCAGAACTATTGAGTGACCGTGTGCATTGTTAGTGAGTAGTAATATTTTGAAAGGAATCTTTTTCTGAGCAGTAGGTCTCTTTCTGAGCAGTAAGTCTCAACAGTGGTCTTAAAGTATTCAGTAAGCCATGTTTTAGATAGATGTCATCCAGGCTTTGTTATTCCACTTACAGAACACAGGCAGAGTAGATTTAGCATAATTCTTAAGGGCCCAGGATTTTCAGAATGGTGACTGAGTATTGGCTTCAACTTGAAGTCACCAGCTGCATTAGCCCCTAGGAAGTCAGCCTGTCTTAGCTAGACCTCCTAGATAACTTGCTGCTTTACTGTGCACTTTTATCTTATGGAGATAGTCTGTTTCCTTAAAACTTATAAACCAACCTCTGCTAGCTTCAAATTTTTCTTCTGCATCTTCCTCACCTCTCTCAGGCTTCCTAGAACTGATGCGAGTTAGAGCCTTGCTCTGAATTAGGTTTTGGCTTAAGGAAATGTTGTGGCTGGTTTGATCTTCTATACAGACCACTAAACCTTTCTGCAGATTAGCATAAGGCTGTTTTGCTTTCTTATCACTTGTGTGTTCACTGGAATAGTATTTTTAACTTTCCTCAAGAGGTTTCCTTTGTATTCACAGCTTGGCTAACTGTTTGGTGCAAGAGGCCTAGCTTCCAGCCTATCTCAGCTTTCGACATGCCTTCTTCATTAAGCTTAATTATTTCTGACTTTGGATTTAAAGTGGAAGACATGCAACTTTTTCTCTCACTTGAACACGTAGAGGCTATTGTGGGGTTATGAACTGGCCTAATTTCAATACTGTTGTGTCTTAGGAAATAGGAAGGCCTTGGAGAGGGAGAGAGGAATGGCCTGTCAGTGGAGCAGTCAGAAAGTACACATTTATCAATTAATTTTGTTTTCACATGGGCATGGTTTGTGAAGCCCCAAAGTATATTACAATAGTAACAGAGATCATTAATAACAGATCACTATAAAAATATGAGAGTAGGAGTCTGAAATATTGCAACAGTTAGAAAATGTGACACAGACTCCTGAAGTCAGCAAATAATGTTGGAAAATGGCACTGATAGACTTGCTTCATGCAGGGTTACCACAGACCTTCAATTTGTGGAAAACAC